TGGCAGCAGGGATTCCCCCTGAGGGAACAAGTGAAAGGATGTTTGCTATAGTGTGTGTTTGAAATTGGACTGGAAGACAGCCTGTGTTTACTAAAACCTTCTGGCAAGTTGGAGTTAAACTAGTACACCAGGGGCCTCATGTACGAAGACTTGCGTGGAAATCATACTAAAACATTGCGTACGCACAAAGCTGTAAATGTGCGTACACAGAAAAAAATTCAGATGTATAAAACACTGCGTACGCCGAATCTCACGCATATTCTTTTGTACATCTGAATGAACGTGAAACTGAGCGCAACATGCACGAGCACAAAACCCCTCCCTGCCTCCTCCCCCGTATAAATATGCAAATGACTATACTTTGGCAAAACCCAACGAAAAAGCAATGGCAAAATCAAGCAAAAAGAGAAACTTTGAACAGAATGTGAATTGTATGTGCTGCTTTCGGAGGTATACCGGAGAAAAGCGGTGTTATTTGCAAGTTTGTTCTCCGGAATTAACAACAAAAGAAAAAAATTGAGTGGGAGAGTTTAGCTGATGCGGTTAACACAGTTGGGTCTGAACATCGCACTGAGTGAATTAGAAAAGAAATAGTGTGATTTATAGGTGTAAAATGTTGCAATACCCTTAACAATTTCAGAGGCGCAGCTCGTAAGACGCATGTCAACATGTTTTGACACGATTGAGCATGAACTTGGTTCGAATCCAGCGTCTTATGAACTCTTTCTTCTTTTTTCCCCCGCTACATATCAGATTTTGCCAACTATTTATCACGAGAAAGACAAGTAGGAATCATTAATAAGTTTGTGCATCATATTTTATTTGCACATTTATTGAATGGAAATGTTTCTGATTCACGTATGCAAATTCATCTTCAGATAGTGTCTTTATAGCAATGTGCGTGCAGTAGATAGCTCAGATTACATTGGGAAAACAGGCGACCGCTGCAAATTGCGCTTTTTAATGTTTAGCTGGTCAACTGTATGGTATGGAAACCTTATATACCTGCTAGATGAACCCGTCTCAAACAGCTGCCATTGCAAGGCTCAGACACTTTGTAGAGAGCAATTTAACACAACTGCCTCTAGGAGTCGCCAATGGAAATAAAACAGACACGCACAAAAAATGTGCGTACGCCAGCCATAAAGCTGGCGTGGAGCTGCGCACATTCTCACGTTCAGTTTATTTTTAGTAAATCCAAACGTGAGCGATTCTGAGCGTGAAACCTGGCGTACGCAAAGTTTTTGTGCGTACGCAGTGTTGATACATGAGGCCCCAGCTCTTTAAAACCAAGTTTGGTGACCCATGTTGTAAAATGTCACTAGTTGTCAGTCATAAGTGTCAGTCATATTTGAATTTACATAGAAATACATAGAACTTTAAGTTATATGTTGATTCAACTAAGGCTGTTTAGTTTCACCTTGTACAAAATCTTAGGTGCTTTAAGACAAATGTCCACGAAAATGTTTCTTAATTTAAGTAAGAAGAGGTTTAGACCCGGAAACAGTACTCCATGCATCACTTACAACTTAACAAGCTGATTGGTTGAGGCCCTGTTGCTATGCCAGGCTGGCTGGAAAAATCAAACAAACAAAATCATGTTTTGATAACAGCACTGCGCCTCAGTATTTACACTTTTCAACTTAACCTACAAATGTCTTACAGATTAAGCCAGGATATTAGAAAGTACAGCAACCTCAAAATAACAACAAACAGATAAGAATAATTACAAACCATAAGCAGCTTTGAATATAATAATTGAGGGTGAGAGCACAGATATCTGTAGTTTTCTATTCAGAGGTGTGTTTATTTAGTGGGAAGGAAAGGGGTGTCAGCTCATAGTGGAGTGTCGGGCTGGTTTGTGGAAGAGCGAAGAGCTTCTGAAAAGGCACTTGTGATCTTTGAGTAAAGCTGTTGTGCTGAGAGTGAGAGGAGGAGGAGGATGCAGTCTGGCAAGGCTCCGCTCATATACATAACAGCTATGATTAACTCAATTCAATCCCCACCAACAAAAAGAGCACAACAGTGGATATTCTTCTGTCTTTCATGTTATACATCTTAAACCTGGATGACAGTTTAAGTCTATATAAAAGCAGCCTGTATATCTGCAAACTACCAGATGTTTTCTATTAAGCATATAATGTACAGTATTGTAAACACATTTTTATTCCTTCACCTTATCTTAAACATTGAGCCTGCGACTCAATGTCAGTTTCAGCTAAAACATAAGTAACAGACTATTATTATAATTATGATTTATTATTATGATTATTATTATTAAATGAAATATTTTATGATATTATTTCTGTATGAATTATTAATGATTTAACTTAATATTTAAACAATTAAATATTTAATATAAGTTTCTAGCAAATGACAATAAGTTAGTGGTTTAATTCATGCAAATTGTTATGCTTTGTTGCTGTAGTGCTATTATTCTTATTGTTGCTTTTATTGTTATTTTACTGTTTTGGAGTGTGTGCTATCCACCTATTCACCACCTTGGTCAGTGCCAAACTGAAGTTAAATGTGCTTTATAAATAAATTTTACTTACTTTACTTACTTACTAAATAATTAATTGTTTATTTTTTAAAACATCTCAGCTAGGAGGGTTTTGAGTATTGAGTAACTTTTGCCATTTGTTTAAGTATAATAAATCTGCAAGGCGATGCAGGGATGCAGTACGTAGTGCTGTCGCCTCACAGCAAGAAGGTCGCTGGTTCGAGCCTCGGCTGGGTCAGTTGGCGTTTCTGTGTGGAGTTTGCATGTTCTCCCTGTGTTGGTGTGGGTTTCCTTCGGGTGCTCCGGTTTGCCCCACAGTCCAAATACTTGTGGTACAGGTAAATTGGGTAAGCTAATTTGTCCATAGTGTATAAGTGTGAATTAGTGTGTATGGTTGTTTCCCAGAAATTGGTTGTGGCTGGAAGTGCATCTGCTGCGTAAAAACGTGCTGGATAAGTTGGCGGTTCATTCCGCTGGGGCAACCCCAGATTAATAAAGGGACTAAGGTGAAAAGAAAATAAATGAATGAATAAATGAATAAATAATAATTCTGCTAATAAAAACAAAAGCCTAAACTATTTTTATTTCACATTATTTAGTCGTTTACAGTTGTCACGAACCCCAGCGATCTAGCTCTTGCAGATTGCTGGAAAATCACCCGAACTACATTTCTGCCACTGAACTGCACTACATTTCTTATCGGGCACCTCACACACACACCAGTTTTGGATCACCACTGATTATTTGCTCACAGCTGGAGCTCATGAAGACAGATTAGTTGGACTATAATACTCCCCACATTCTCACATACATTGCTAAGTCTTGTTCACCTGTAACGCCCTATTCACATGAGGCATCAGCAATAATGCTTCCCATTCACTTTGAATTGGTGATGTCAAGCATTGCGGAACTGAATTGTGGGTCCGTCAGCGGTGCTTCAGCTGTGCTGCTCGCAGCAGAAGTTGGGAGTTTTTCAACTTTGAGTGGCAACGGAAGTGTCAGCCAATCAGATCGCTTTATGCAAATTCCCCAGCTCAGACAGTTGCCGTTTGCAGACTTGTTTCATTGGCTGTTTCATTGTTTCATAACGCTGCTCTGACTATGACGTCCAGACACACCCTCCGTCAAGTGTTGACGCTGAAGCCCCATGTATATTGTAACATTACCAAGCGTTATTCCTGTCTAGCCTTGTGATGCCTTGTGATGCTATTGTTTATGCTGTTTGCCGCCTGCACTGACCTCTTTGCCTGCTACCACGACTACACTTTTGAATTACCCTCATGATACCGTTTGCTCCTTTTTTGACCATTTCCTGTCTGACTACATTGTAAATAGACTGCATTTGGACCCTCATCTCCGTTGTACCTTGACTCCCTTGTTACAACAGTGTATTTCTTATGTTAAACACATTGAACCTTTCCATGATTGTTTGATATTACTGTTATATTACTCTTTTGCTACATCAATCAGACTAGCATAATTCAGAAAGAATTGTTCTTGATGAAATTTGGAAGTAGTTTTCTGACTCAAATAGGCACACAATAAGCATTTAAATTGATAAAAGCAGTCAATAAGCACACTAATGTATTGCCAAAAAGCCATATCTATCTAAATAGTACATACTTGTAATGCAGTTCTCAAAGTCATGGGGAAAATCCTTGAGGTTAAGGAGTGGCAGGGTTTGATTTTGAAGGGTAGGATACAATATGTTCCCACTGAACTGCTCATTTCTTAGTTCACATTCCTCCACCTGCCTACCTCAGACCCAATTACTCACAGAAATATGAGCGCGTTTTCCATGTCTGCCGTAACACAGAGGCTCTCCAGCAGAACTCAATTCTTGCAGGTAATGAGTCTGTACTCTAACATTTCCCCATGCAGACAGACCAATCTGCCACCGCTCTGCACATATAGGCCTTCTGCATTAGGCAAAAGCTCAGAGGGAATCCAATCCACGAGATATTGCTTTTTTCATTAGGTTGGAGTTTGACGTTCACTTGGCTGAGAATTCTCAAAAATAACCTTGCGCACACCTGGGTCTGCAAAAAGCCTGCGATCTTGAGTTATTGGCTTATAAATGGAAAAATTCCATTATTGTTCAGTACTAATAATATTCGCAGGTAACCTCCAACGGAGTAAGTAGATGCTTTTTGCGCTCAAGGCTGTTCTTTACTGTATGTCAACATGTGGACTAACAATCTGTCTGAATGGATTTGGTTTGTAGGCTATGTTTACACTTGTGCATTTTCATATTAACATGTTTTAAAATAAAAACAGTCCTTATCCATTACAAACATTCTATTTCTCTACTGTATGTTCCAGAAAACATCCAACTTCATGACTGAAACTGCATTTAAGAACTGTACTGTACCCTGTACACAATTATTAATTAAAAAAAATAAATAACAAGATATCTATTGTGATGAAAGAAAAAGAAATTATGAGTTTAGGCATTTGTTTAAAAAATCTAAGTACAAAAGTGTGCATGTTGACTTACATAATCTTCATATGTCTTGTGCGTGGCTTGCAGTGACGGGGCTCTGTATCCAGGTGTTCCAGCTGTTCCTCTGGTTCGGGGTGCAGACACCCCTCTGGCTGGTGTGGGGACGGAGGTGCGGGAGCTCACAGTTCCTCTGGGGGCTGCTGCTCCTCGTCCAGGTGGAGCGGGTGGTGCTGCACTTCCTCGACCTCTGAAGGCACAGGTAAACAGACATATGATTATTAGCATAATAGAGCATATGTAATAAAGCAAAATCAAAGTTATTATTAAGACAACTTGTTAAAAATGTAAATAATTTAATGCCAGTTTTCATGCAAAAAATAATAAATAATAAAATAAATAAAGTAACATAAAATCCACATCCAGTTCACATCACCAAACATACAAATAATTGTTTGATATTATTGTAAAATAACTCTACTGCAGATTCAACCATTCCCAGTCACATACTAAAGGCTGGAAGCGGTGGCTGAGTTATGCAAAATTAGTGCTGCACAGCTCCAGTGTTTACCCATGAAAAATTAGCATTTTGTGTGAAGTCATTTGCTGCAGTGCTATAATACTGGGCTGCTGTTAGCCTGTGTTTTCATCACGACAGCCTATTAAAGCCCTGTGAACCATAATGCCAGTGACTCAATAAGGTTAGACAGCAGAGTTTTCAGAGATATGGCAATATTCATTGCCTCAGTTCTTTCCCCATCTCTGGTTACACACTGTAAAACCACTATAGTGAAGCTTGCCATGAAAACACAGCCTGCACAATACGTTATTTCATTCAGTACAGCGAGAGACAGCTTTATTTTGATCCACAGTTTTGCTTTCTTGTGCTTGTATTGTTTTTTGGGAGGATGATTCTGTGAAGTAAAGGGTGAAGCTGTCTGTTTCTGGAGTCGTTTTCAACCTGATTACTGTTGCAACATGGCAGATGGAGTTGGCGGCATTGGTGAATGGCAGATGCTTCAGTCCGTCCAGATCTGCATTCAGTCCATCCAACTCCAGAGATCCTACAGGGACTAATGGCCTCATCAGTGTTGTTTTTGCCATGCTGATTTGTGGTAATGACTTCTCAGGGCTCCACGAGGAACACATCAAGGGGAAGAGGCATTTTATAGCTTTATCTGCCAGGAACGGTAAACAGAAATATCATATTTTGAATCTATTATTACTACCTGAGGTAGTGCAAGCTGTCATTGTTGTGGGAGAATCCTAGAGGGATCGGCAGAGGCTCAGACAAGCCCGAACAAGTGCAGTGTGGAATTTATGAAATAAACATTAAAGATGGTGTAAATAATGGATGATGGTATATAGAAGTTATGCTTTTGAAGAGAACAATTAAAGCTTCACCTGCTAACCTGATTAATAATGCTGAGCCTCGGGGCAGGTTCATGATCCAACAGAGCGCAGATGTTTGGGAGTGAAAACTGGGTCTCAGTCAAAGTTAAAACGGATAAAGTAAATGTGGATGACTTATGCTTCGCCAAATATGTTTGTGTGTTTGTGTGACCTTAGATAACAAAACCAGTCATAAGTGTTAAACTCAAAGAAAAAATGACAATTTGGGTTTCCAAATAGGAAAATATTTAACTAAGACACAACTATTTAAAAATCTGGAACCTGAGGGTTAAAAATGCAGAGAAAATCTCCTTTAAAGTTGTCTAAATTAGGGTTCTAGCCATCCATATTACAAATAAACAATAAGTTTTAACATTTACATAAGGACATTCATAAAATATCTTCATGGAACACAATCTTTACCTAATACACTAATGACTTTTGGCATAAAATACAAAATTATAATTTGGACTCAATGTGTTTTTAACTATTCCCACAAATTTCCATGAGCAACATTGGTTGCGAGACTGATTTTGTGGTCCAGGGTCTCATGAATGATCTTTTATTGATTTTTTTCCTGTCCAAATATCTCATTTCAATACATATTTTCATTCTTTCATTTTTCTTCATCTTAGTCTCTTTATTCATCAGAGATCATTACAGTGGAAAGAACTGGTAATTTATCCAGCATATGTTTTACACAGCGGATGCCCTTCCAGCTGCAACCCAGCACTGGGAAACATCCTTACACACTAAATCACACACATACTGTACACTATGGACAATTTAGTTTACTCAATTCACCTATAGCGCATGTCTTTGAACTGTGGGGGAAACTGGAGCACCCAGAGGCAACCCACACCAACATGGAGAGAACATGCAAACTCCACATAGAAATGCAAAATGGCCCATCCGGGAATCAAACCAGCAACCTTCTTGCTGTAAGGTGACAGTGCTAACCACTGAACCACTGTGACGCCTTTAATACATCTAATTTACTTAAATATTGCAGTGTTTGTAATTAAAAATTGTGTACATTATACTTATTTTACTTTTACTTGCTCTCATGTGTCACATAAATAATATTCATTAAGATTTTTATGAAGATGTGTTCAATGTTGTGGAGAGGGAAACCTTTCAATCACAATATGCATCAATATTAAACTACTATAGCAACTATAGCAAATATTGTCCTATATTCTTCATCAAGGTGACGTGAATTTCACTCTGAAATACATTATTAGTTGGTAAAAAGGCAATTAAAATGTCTGTTCCTTATCAGCTTTAAGAAATAATCTCCCTTTTTTCATTTTTCTCGTCAAAAAGGTTTGTAATTACATAAGTTACTAAATTATAGCACATTTTAGTGAGCTGTTTCTTTGTGGTTGGTTTCTATTATTTAACATAGGGGTGTTTAGGTGAAGTAACTGTACCTGGGGGAAGCTGTGGAGGTCAGCCGCAATCCACGTCCCCGCGCACTTCTTCCTCGGCTTGGGTCATCTGAGCCATTCAAGTAGGAGAGCTCACGGAGCTGTTCCTGCCTGATTTCATCATTGTAATCCTGTGCAAAGAAAACAAAAACACCAAACTTGAAAAAATAGATATATTTAGCAATATATAGCAAGGCGTTGTGTGTGCATCTCGTCTAACAGGCTCCTGTTCAACCACAGCAAACAGAAATTATCCAGTTGGATGCACATCTTGCAGACGCCGGCGTAAAAGCAAATGAGCCTTAAATGTGTTGCCAGAACACCAGAACGCTGGCAGCGAAGGCTAAATATACTGCCAGAAAGTTTTGCTGACTTCAAACTAAAAAGTAAGGATAAAAAAATGAAACCTTGTTTTTCAGATGTGAAGGACATGAAACATTTTTGCATGCATACTGGCACCATATGACACGCACACTGAAAATATGGTGTAGAAAGAGGGGCTGAGGTGCACACAAATCTTTCATTTAGAGTAAGAAGAATGATAGAGGCAGGAGAAAAATAGAGCACTGGCTTATTAACTTTGTTTGACATCAGCTATCAGTGCGTTGTTGTGAAAGAATAATTCCACTTTCTGCATTTATAAAGTCCCTCTCTTATTTGATTGAACATGACAGGGCCCTGAATCACAAGGACGATTACAGAGTGGATAGCGCTTATTTTATTATCATGTCACTGCCACAGGCAGATAAACGGAGCCTCATTTCCACCAGCCACTTATTTCCCTTCCTGTTTGGCACAACAGCTGTACAGGAAAATATCAGACATGGCAGCAAAAGGAGAGTGGCCTTTCTCAGAGATACGCTTCCCAATCAGTGAAGATTTAAAGGTTCACGAAACGTTTGAGTACTTTTTTGAGATTTTAACAGATTTGTGTGTGTTGAGCACCAGTTAGGACAATGTTAGCACCTGTCAGCGTTAATTGTGGGGAAAACTGGATAATTTTGAGGTTTTGTCAGCTAATTTCATCTTCCGGGTTTAAAATGATTTTTGGGGTGGGATCAAAATCGGCGACGTAGAGCAAAACTGCAAGTGCAAAGATGACGCGTCGCTTTCTCAATATTATTCATAGCTGAGTTTTCTTATCCTATAAGAAGAGCCGGCTTTTAAATTATTCATGACTGCACGTGCTTTCCGAAGGCAAGGTAGACCTGCCAGTGCTAAGCTGTGAGACACTATGTTGATGACTGGGTGAGACGCGTCCATTGACCCACGGCACACAGTATTTAGCTGTTCATGAATGGTCGTATCTGTTTTTCCCCGCAATGCTGTCAGGGCCGATACAGCAAAGCTGTTTGTGTGCAAAAAAAAAGCATTTTGTCGAAAGAGCAGTATAAGAATTCGAGAGAGGCGGACGTTGTCTTTTATCAGGAGTTCGTTCATAATTAGACACATCGCCGTGCTGCTGTGTTTGCCTAAATCCTCTATATTACAAGCAGGGCTAATGGTTAAAATAGACAGGGCAAGAGACCTGCTGCACTGAGTCTGCATTTAAACCCGGAGATTGAGGGAAAAGTCCTCATTAATAGTGTTTATATGAACACGATTATCTTTATAATGATATAAATTGTGGTTATGTGTATATAAAATTACAAATAACAAATGTAGCAGGGCATGAAATTACTGTTTATTTCTTTGCATTTTAACTCTGTAAACTATAAAATAATACGTCACATTTTGTGAGCTAGCCGACAACAGTTGTTCACTCCCCTCCTTCTCCTCTGCTCTGCAGGGCATGCACACTCCTGCCCTTTACTCGTGGAGCTCCACGCCTGATGCATGTTTTGAAAAAATTCTGAGGTAGACCTGAACCGAAAGTGGGGGGTGTCATGACCCTTTAAAAATATGCAAATAGAGTATAGTACAGTATATTTACTATAAGAAGTATACACTTAGCTGCTGTGTTGATATTCTTTTTTTCACATATTTGTGACTACAGAAATGTATGTATAATGTGTGGTACAATCATTTTTCTTCTTCATTTAAAGGTTTAAAGAAAACTGAGGAGAAAATGACTTTTCAAGAAATTTCCTATCAAAAAAATAGAGCCGTTGCGACACACCTACCTATTACATATTTGCAAGGACCAATAGTTTAAAGGGTTTTTACCTGCCAGAGTAAACATTTACAGAAATAACCAAAAATACATTTGATTTTGGCTTCATGTTGTAAGAAATTAAGTCACACAAGATTTTTAATCATGCTTCATTGCCTTTTTGCATTTATTTAATCAGATATTGTGGAATGGTACAGATTAAAGCAATTGTTGTTGTTGTATTTTTAATGTAATTTATTACTTCAGAAATCCTTGTAGGCTAATATGCTGATTTTGTTCTTTAAAATTTCTAATATTTTTTTTTCATAAATGTTGTTCTGCAAACTAATTTTGTAGAAATTATTTTCCAAGGACTCTTTGACAAGCAAAAAAGTAGCATCTAATTGATATCCTGAAATATTTTGTGAAACGTATCCTTACTGAATTTTTTTTTAAATAAATGCATTTCTTTAAATAAAATCTTACAAACCTCAATTTGATTAATAGTAGTGCATTTAATAACATTGCATGCATATCCATTCACAAAGTGAAGTTTATTTATAAACTAATTTTGAGAGGATCACATGCTTATGATTGACCATGGCTGGTCCCACATGATTTACCAATCAGATAAATCCTTACACATAATAAATAACCAGAGTGTCTTACCTTGGTTATCTTAGTCTTGAAAATTACCCCCTTTCATTTCTACACCTCCTCCTTTTTCCTAGATAGGGAGGCATGGTGGATCAGGGGTAACACTGTTGCCTTACAGCAAGAACGTCACTAGTTCAAGTTCTTACTTGGCCAGTCGACATTTCTATGTAGAGTTTACATGTTCTCTCCGTGCTCATGTGGGTTTCCCCCGGTTTCCTCCCACAGTCCAAAGACATGTGTCATAAGTGAATTGACTAAACCAAATTGGCACTATAGATGAGCTCTAAACCAGGCTCCTACTTATGCCTACCAACTAGTTTACTGTATCTCGCCATAGCAATCCCTAAAATCTGTCATAGGTCCTAAATAAGCCAGGGGAATTCCCGAGACCTGAGCACCTGAGCTCAAACTCTCCTCTCACCCTTCAAATGGGAGGGAGTCCCGAGCTTGAAGATCTTTACAGTTTAGGGCTCTTTCCTAGGACAGCATGCCAAACACACTTTATTATCAATCATCAGCTAAGTGTGAACTCTTGAATCTGACCATTAAGTAAAAATTTCAACTTAAACATACATTGGAAATAACATCTTCTGAGACCCCCTTTACATCATTAAGATCTTTTTCTTCAGTCCAATTAAAGTGTAAATGGGGTCTAGAACTTTTGACCACTTCCAGAAGTAGTTAAAAGGCCATTTCATCAGATTGCTCTCATAGTGTCAACTCCCTTGTGATTGAATGCAATTTAACATCAATAAAACACCAACTAATCTCCATACTGACCCAAGATTTGATCATTATGGCCTGTTTTCTGCGAAAGCGCACCAAAATTCATACTTTGCACAGTGTTTCACTATAGCACACAAATTACAATCAAAACTGTAGTTTCCATCCACGATCTTTTCAATCACTTGTTTTCTTACTCCCATTCTTTCAATAGTACTTCTGAGTCACACCAGATGCTCTCATGAAAGTGAAGTAGAGCATAACCAAATAAGAGGGAAGGGGCTTGAGAAAATCTCTCCACAAGTGGTCACAAAAAACGCATTTGAACACATACTAATACAACTGTAGGTGAAAAACAACGCTACATGAACTACAGAAACTGAAATTCAAGTCTCAGGAAACTTGTTATACAAAATAGATGTGAAATAATTTGAACCCTATTCAGCAGCAGTATCTTGCATTAATGAGACTTCATCTGTACAGTAGTGACACTGAGAAGAGCCCACTCACTCCTACTGAAGATGCTGCGTTCTGCATGAATCACTCTCTTTCTGTGGCAGTGTGTGAGGTTGAGTAATCGTGTTCACATAATGGGCTTTCTGTAGGTATTACCAACAATGGATAAGGCATATCAGTAGTCCTGGCTGTAAAGGCTTTTTGATGTTTGTTTTTAAAAGACATATTCATTCCATGTTGACCAAAGCTAATCTGCAATTACAGGATTCATTGAATGGAACTACATAATTCATACTGCAATTTGATCCAGAGCTTCAGGTAATCTGTGTGCAGCTTTGTTGAATGACAATGATGTAGCTTTACAGTTGAAGAAATATGAAGCACTGTCTCTAATAGTATATTGTTTAAAATAGACGCTAAATGTTTTAAAGGCTGAATAATGGAAACCACATACTGCAGGCCCGTAGCCAACCCGGTGAAAGGGTTGGTTCTTTTTTTCTCAAAAAGTGGACCTTTTGCAGTTATACGCCTCAGTTTCTATTTAACTATGGGACTTAAATGCTGAATTTTAGTGACATTCTTTTTGCTGGATTAGCTAGTCAGATATCCTCATAACCACACTTTTTGATGTACTAAAAATATTTTCAAAAAGTTTGCAATAAAAAAAATTAAAACAAGTCTAATTTTTTAAAATACAAAGTTATTACATCATATATCATTAGAAACATAGCAATCTGTTAAAGTATTGAAGTGAAAAATAAAAACTGTAGCGTATTGTCATTTATTAGACAAAAACAACTGAACTGTCCTTAGTCACAATTTGTCAATTTCAATAAAAAAGAATAATTAAAACATAATAATAATAATAATAGTAGTAATAATAATAATAATAATAATAATAATAATAATATTAATAATAATAATAATGAATTCTTTGGGTAAAAAAAAGTACATTTGGAAATTTCTGGATATCAACAATAGCCAAAATCTATTCAAAATAGTAATATTAAAAAAGTAAATAATAATTTTATAATAAACATGTTTTTAATAGAGTTTTGACTGTAAAACCACACCTATAGGTGTTTCAGGTGCAGGTCAGATTTTCTCCAGGTCATTATTTATTTCATTTATATAAATTTTGTCTAAAAAATGATTAGACCTGCCCTGTTTCATCTGGAATGCATCCCAGATGACTTTCTGAAGTGGTTTAAGCGATCGGATTTATATCTGATCAGAATAAAACGAATAAAGTGACCAAACAGCCTCAGCTGTGAAGCTGTGAAGTGATATCTGACAGCTAAGAACTCCGCTTGCCATTAAAGCCTTCGGCAGGCAGTTATTTAAAGAAATTTATGTCAAAAATAGGTAAAGGGAGGTCATGTACCGGACAAGTAAATAAATATACAGGACGTCCCGGCTAATGCGGCTATTTAGCCTAGTCCTCATGGATCAGATCGTAACTTACCTTACCTTACTTGCCTTACCCTGTTTGGCAGTCTTTTTGAACATATGTTCAATATTTTGCGACAATGACGCTGCTGCCTTTTCTGCCTTTGCTGCTGCCTTTTCTGCCTCTCTTGCTCTTTTAGACCTACAGCGTTACTTAGTATGGATGTAGCATCAAAGATTCAAATGTTACCACTCAGTGGGTTATGTCACGTGACTCGTGTCACATTATTGTGGCTTTGATGCTCTATGGGATTCAAATTACTGGCCAGAGTTCTTTAAAATTACACTTTATTACTATATATTGAATATAAATATATTAATTTAATTATATAATTAATACAATATGTAATTTTAAAAGACATAAAATAATTAAAAGGACAAATTCTGGACCTTTTGGCCCCAACCCTCTAAACTCTTTGCTACCTTCAAGCGATTCATTTAAATTACAGTATATCAGTCATTGAAAGTAGAGTTTCACTTTGGATTTTGGATTTTAAATTAAGTTTTAAAAAGTGATTTTATTTACAGATAATTAATTTTAACAGCAAGTAAGCTGTTAATTTTAATTTTTAAAATATCATTTGTAAAAATATATGGTCTGAATATTGGTGAGCAGGTCCCATAGCTATTCAGTGCTACATACTTAAAACATATCTATTAAAAAATGTCATTTATAGTTGATGATATTACATTTGTCATTGGATGTTGGCAATGTTTCTAATGTTCAAACAAATGTTTCTAATTTTTCACATGCAAATATTATCATAAAAAACTATTTGTAAAAATTTAAATATATATATATACATACTTCTTGAGCATAAGATTAATTGAGAATAGTAACGTGTGTGCATGTTTAACACTTCATTTTTAAAGCTCATTGTTTATTTGGATGTTTACAAGAACATTTAGTTTTCTAGGAAGCATTCCAGTCGACGTTAAAACATGAATGCTGGAGCACCAGTAAAGGCAGGTAATAATGTTAAGTTGGCTCAGTTTTTTTTACTAAAAGGTGTTCAGGTCTTATCATGCAGGTCAGCTAAGTTCTTCCACACTAAGCCATTTCTTAATAGTCTTTGCTTTGTGCAATGAGACTAAAGATGCTTGGACAGAAAAACTTCCTGAAACTATCGCAACAAAATCAGTCCACATGAATATCATGTGTGTCACGGCATCAAAGTTTATTTTCACTGGAATTTAGGGCCCTAGCAAAAGCCATTAATTAAAAAGAATGTAGCGAATGTATAATGCCTCATCTCTATTGAACAAATGCTAGGAAACTCCAAGAAATGAATTCATTCACACAGCTGCCTAGATATGATTAACACTTCAAAGTGAGCTATAGTAAGATGCCAGCAAACTCCTTTAATCCTGACAGGAATCAAGCTTTCTGACAAAGATAAATGAGTAGAGCACTATAAACATATTCAAAGAAGGCATTAGCTTCAAACCCTAATGAGCTGCCTCAACGCCTACATAGGCAGCTGCCTTTATGGCAGCAACCTACTGAAATGTATACACAAAATTTGGCCCCCCAAAAAGAGGCTTTACGCAAGGGATGTTACTAAAACATCTTAAAATGCCAACAATGATACTTCGCTAGATTTTGTAACTGAGCTATTGAGAAAGAGAACTTGCCTGCTTGGTATTCATGAGTGGGCATGAAGATGTAACATGGAAGACTCTGACAGAGATACATATGGAGGATGTAACCAGATCAGGGCTGTGGATGATGATGCGAAGATGTGGCTCAAGAGGTTAAGAGTCTGCGTAAAACTCAGGGCAGGAAAGGTGAATGTACTGTATGGAAACTCTCCTCTTCGAACGCTTCCTGCCTGAAGCCAACAGCACGTAGTGCTGCATTAATATTTAGTTCAGGAAATATAGAGATAGACATTTTACACTTTAATCACCATTGAGACTTCCAGTACTTTTAGTTGAATATGATTACTGACAATAAGAAGCTAATGTGTATACACTACCTTTCAAAAATATGCTCCTAAAAAGCAACATTTAAAAAAATATGTGAAAATTTAATTTATACATGTGACGAAAAAGCTGAATTGTTGGATTATTACTCCACTTTTCACTAGGTAAAGAAAATATAGTTTGAGAGCAAAGATTTACTTCATTTTGTAATTGTAAATTTGTAAATTGTATTTAAAGTGGGTTGTGAGATTTGAAAGTTCAAAAGAATAACAATGTATTGTAATCATTTGAAGAACTCTAGACTCTTTAAAATGTAAATAATACTAATAATAATTACTTGATCACTGTATATAATTTTAGATAAAAAATATATAAGGAACAAATATTTACTAGCTAATTGCTTATTACTACTACTATTTTGTTTATTATTACTAATTTCTGTTAATACATGGTTATTAATACACCTTAATAACTTATCTGCAGAAGTAATCAAATCTGCAGGACTATACACTACCTGACAAAAGTCCCTATCTTAGTTTTAGGAACAACAAATAATAACTTGATTTCAAGGTGATCATTAGGACAATAATGTCTGGCTTTGTTTAGACAAAAGTCTTGTCACTTAACAGAAATAATGTCCAGTATAGAATATAAAGTCATGGTGCAGTGGAAGAAAAATGAATATTGCGTATGACTCTCATGAGCTTAGAGGACTTAGAGGACTGCATCCATACATCTCTGCAATGACTCAAATCACTTATTAATAAAGTCATCTGGAATGGCTAAAAGTTCATTAAGATTCTTGCATTCATCTTCAATACCTCCTCCATCTTACCCCAGACATGCTATCCTGGAGCACCTTGACCTCCTTTGCTTTCAGAAACTTTGATGTGGAGGCTGAAGTATGAGAAGGAACGCTATCCTGCTGAAGAATTTTCCCTCTCCTGTGGTTTGTAATGTAATGAGCAACACAAATGTCTTGATACCTCAGGCTGCTGATGTTGCCATCCACTCTGCAGGTCTCTCATACGCCCCATATTTAATTTAACCCCAAACCATGATTTTTTCTTCAAATTTGACTGATTTCTGTGAGAATCTTGGGTCCATGCGGATTCCAATAGATCTTCTGCATTATTTGTGATAAGTGGGATCCAGTTCAACATGATTCATCAAAAGATCTACCTTCTGCCACTTTTTTAAATGATCAACTAGAAGTCAAGCTATTATCAACAACAAAACTTTTGTCAGGTAGTCTATTGTAGACTGCTTAAAATTGTATGCTTTAGCTAAACAGCAATTATTACAACAACTATACCCATACTTAATATCCGTATGCAGTAATTAGACGTGTACTGAGGGAAAGCTTTTAATTCTGCTGTTCCCTAATGAAAAGTGTTATGAATGATTTGGAAAACACACAACAAACTATCCAGATTTCCCAAGTCTGCAGCCCATTAAGAATTAAACATGCATGATCTATAATGGAATCTCCAATGTATATGTTTAATTACATGCATACCACTATAATCTCATTTTTTACCCCTTGCAATAAACATGGACAAATTTCGGCATGCTGGAAAGCACTGGAGTTTGGTAATGGCTGGCTGGCTCACTCATCTCATATTGGCTTTCAGCTCGCCATCTCTCTGAGGGAATCCAACAGTATGAACTTACTGGAACAAGGAATTTCTTAATCTCCTCCAGGGCATGGCTCATGCGGGAATAGGCTTCTCCAGGTGGTGCGAAAACCTCAATTAAAACGTGAAGATCGTTGCTCAAATGAGCGTATTTCGCCTCTCCACTTTTCCTCAGCTCTTCTTCCTAGAGATGGAAAAATATTAAATTAGGAATTCTGTGTGAAGAATTAATCATACCCTTAATGAATTAAAGAAATGGTGATTTTCCCTTCTGAAATGCATTATGCATAGATTGAACTGAGAGTGAACTTGAAAAGGATTAAAGAACTTAAGTGAAAATTCTGTCACCATTTGCTCACTTTAATGTATTTACTGTACAGTACCATGATTCACAGATAGACCTAATTAATCATTTAGATTAACAATAGTACATTTTATCAGTCATATCAAAGGCCAATCTCAATTCTACCCCTTAGCCATTACCCCTACCCCTTCGTTCGTCTCAATTCTCTTTAGCTAAGACATCAGGCTAAGGGGAAGGGCTATTTACCCCTTCGAACTGAGATTTTTTAGGACCACACTTGAAACCAAGGGGTAAGAAAATTTTCCAGAATGCACCAGCCACAACGGCAGCACAGCTGCACCCAGAAGTAAGGAGATTCACAAATTAGTATATTTTTTTCTTTGTTAAACACTAAAATAAAAATTGCTAAATTTTGCGATCTATAATCCTTAATAATAACTCCTGTATAGTAGTCCCACAACATTCTGTCACTTCATTACACTCAAATACCCTGTCAGAAAAGTCTAGTGGATGGGAATGATCTTATTACAGTGTCTAGTATAATATTAATGTTGTTTTCGTGTGTTTACATAGATGACTATCCGCTTGTTAAGTGTGATGTCACGCGAATCGCTTCCGGGTCCAAGTGCTCTATTCAACTGAATAAGGAGACTCATGAAATGGTAATAATAAACGTTTACAAAGCGATTTAAGGCTTTCGAAAATCACGATCACAGTATATATGTCCATGCCTAATATCCAATGGCCAGAAAGTGATAAATTTTTTTATAAATTGTTAAATTTTTGGTATTTGTTATGCAGCAAGCCCAGAGATTGTTGTTTACACTATGACTTTATATAAAATTAACTTTAATGTGTGATAGGAATAAAACACAATCATAAACAAATGATTTCTCCACTCAAATGAACGGTGGCTTGGACCCGGAAACAGTATACATACGTCACAAACACGTCACCACTTAACAAGTGGATGGCTATGATGTAAATGCACAGTACATTTACTTATTGCCACATTATATCGTTGTAACATTATATATGCATTCAGTGATTTCCTGAAGATAAATGGCAAAAAAATAAAGCAACTGGAACCACAGCAGTCGATCTCATATGAAGCAAGAGCTCGCAATGACATGTGATGACGTTGGTTCGAGCCTCGGCTGGGTCAGTTGGTCTTTCTGTGTAGAGCTTGCTTGTTCTTCTCGCGTTCGCATGAGTTTCCTCCGGGAGCTCCGGTTTCCCCCACAGTCCAAAAGACATGTGGTACAGGTGAATTAGGTGGGCTAAATTGTCCGTAATGTATGAGTGTGAATGAGTGTGTATGGATGTTTCCCAGAAAAGGGTTGCAGCTGGAAGGGGATCCACTTTGTAAAACGTGCTGGATAAGTTGGTGGTTCAGCGGCTTTCTTGTTCCACTTAAGAATACAAGACTTTGCAAAATATTTTGTCCAGTGCAGATTTTTAATTTGTGTAATTAATATGGTAATATTTATTGTTGTAATTAAAACCCCATGAATTAAATTAATTATTTGCCATTCAAGGCTTAATATCAAATTTAAAGACTTTATAAGAAAACCGACAATGCTCAAATGAGTTAACAAAGTTTAATTAACAATGAAAAATGTTTCTTTATATACACAAATAAAAATATTCATTCATTTTCTTTTCGCCTTAGTCCCTTTATTAAACCCGGGGTCACCACAGCGGAATAAATCGTTAACTCATCTATCACGTTTTTACGCAGCGATGCCCTTTCAGCCGCAACCCATCACTGGGCAACATCCACACACTCATTTACACACACACTCATACACTACAAACAATTTAGCCTTCGCAATTCACCTGTACCGCATGTATTTGGACTGTGAGGGAAACCGGAGCACCCGGAGGAAATATGCAAACTCCACACAGAAACGCCAACAGACCCCAGCCGAGGCTTGAACCAGCGACCCAGCGACCTTCTTGCTGTGAGGCGACAGCACAACCTACTGCACCACTGCGTCGCCCAAATAAAAATATTTTACATTTAATTTATTACATTTGTTAACAACGGAGCAGTCTGGTGGAATAACAAAGAAAGCTGATCCTGATTGGTCCTCGTGTGTGCATTCGAAATGCGGATTGGCTCACAGAAAGAAACTTACAGCCAAGCAAGAGTTTGACTTTGTAGATAAATAAAACCTGTTTTGTTTTTTAAATAAAAAGTCTTAAAATGTAAACCACTTACACAAAAACGTCCCATAATGTAAATAAGTTGTCATATGTGAATAACTCAATTTTGACCAAAATGTCAGATAGAACCTAATAATTCTTAGGTGATGATTTGTTATGGCGGCTGACAATGGAAAATTAGTTGCTGTTGTGACATTTTTTATGTTAAAGTTTAGTTATTTGAATCATTAAAGTAAACGCTTTCCTTGGCTTTTAATACACTTTTCTCATCATCTGTGTCTTGTAGTGCAATATCATTTAGTTTTCACATAAGAAGGTAAAGTCACACAGGTTTGTAATGACATGAAGGTGACAGAACACATCATTTTTTAGGTGAACTGTCCCATTAACAGCCTCGTCTTTTTGAAGTGATGATGTTCTTGTAATGTTTTTTACCAAAATGTCACAAAATGACTTTTTTTTGCTCACATTTTATAATAATTCTCATAACGGCATATGACAATTGTGAACAATGAAAGCCATCGACATCCTTACTCCATAACAGATAATGGCTACACAGATACAGCAAATCATTACGTTTAAACCTGCCCGAGGGCTTTTTGTCAGAAATAAATTGACACTGTCACCTTTCTGATTAAATCCTGTCATGGGAAGAGCGGGAAAGGGTGATATTTCACCAAAGCACTCCGTTTCTCAATTCTCTCTGATTGCTGAAGGTGTTTTGTGGCTCTTCACAAAACTTCAGAAAGCTTGTAATTACGGCAGCCAACATTTCTGTCTTACACTGATTACAGTTGGCTATGGTTTCTTCTTAAAGACAGGAGAGCTTTGATGTAGGGGCCATTCACATCACTGATGCAGGCCCTTCAGCTTTAATAAACACTTACCGATGCCATCTCTCTATCATGTCAAAGTGACCCAAGCACTTTTTCCATCATGCTTTTGCTTGGACGAAAGGTCAGGAGACACTTAAGCTTTCACAACATTCCCGAGAGGCGTAATCATATTTTGCGAGCCTCCGATATACGGGGCGCTGACAAATTGGCCAGATGAGATGGTTGAGGTGGTAATTTTGTGAGTAGACACAAATATATGCATGTAGGTGTTGGCGCTGTGGGTGTTTTCAGATTGACTTAAAAATGGACAGACAGAAACAGGAGACGGAGGAAAGTCTGCCGCCTCATTTCCAGTCTTGTGGAAAACCGTTCGTCAGATGACATTTGTTCTGTTTCAAGCCTCAAAGCTTTAACTTTCCTTTTATGTCAATCCATGAAGAAAGTGTTCAGTTGTTTCAAAAGGCAGGTCTGTCTCACAGGAAGCGTTTCAAAAGGCACTCAAGTAAGCATGTCTAAGCATAGCAGAATCCTCTTCAAATATGACAAAATGAAGGGTTCCTCATTTTTATTCCCGGTAAAGAACAAATAGTGAATCTGACACTTATAAGCCTGACAGTTATCCAGTGCCCCTATGGAGTTAAAGAGCTCGAAGCTTGAAGCGCTAAATAAAATTTACTCCTAAAACTCATGGAAACAGAACTACTACTGGTGATAAACCCTTGATTTTAGCGTTCTTCCACAAAAATTAAATACACAATTTACATTTTCTTTTTTTTCTTGACATTTGCAGTACATAAAATGTCTTTTTGCTCTGCTGGTTAATGTAATGCCTTTTTTGATTCAGTCAATTTGCTGCTTTCAGACACAAGCTGTTCATTTACCTGCACAGGAAATCACTCTGAATGCAATATTGTTTGGTTTGCTGATCCTTGGATGTACAGATTGTTTCAGTCACCCTTTCAAAAACTGAACAGACAAATCTATAGCCATAAAGATTCAAGGCGGACTCTTAATTTCATATGTATAACAAACCTGTACCAGCTCAAGGTGACTTTTTATAATGGAATAAGTTTGCATTAATGATTGCCTTTGGGATTTAAAACAACTCAACAGGCTCTTGTTTGAGTTCTGCCAGAAATTTAAATAGATTTCAGACCACAGTTCATTTGCATTGTTAAAACAATGGTAGGAGTGTGTTGATAAAGCTGACAAAAGAACATTCTGCTTGTAGAAACTCAAATCACTGTCATTTGGTTTGCATAATCCTGCTTCATTTTATTCTTTTGGAAACTTTTTACTTTTTTTTTTTTTTGAGTAAGACTATTTAAATAAAAAATAAAATATTGGTCCGAGTTGTTTTGATCAAATATAAAAAAAAGGCAAACAGTAATTATGAAACTAAACACTGTGCACAACATATGTTTAAACTCTGAGGGAGAATTCATTAAGGATTAAGGCCTTAAAACTGTCTTGAATTTGCATTCTTTCTGCATTGCTTGAGTACACAGTTCACTTAAGGAATTATGTAAATCAGGTAATGGTAAAACTAGGACTGAGTGCACAATGTAGACACAATCTAAACAATGCAGGTTGGGAATCCAGAAATGGATGCGGGCCATGAATATACTGTATGAATACTGTGCACTCTAAAAAATGCTGTGATGTCATAACCCAATGCTGGGATGTAACCCAATATTTGTAACCCTATGTTGGCTCATATATGGTCAAACCCAACACTGGGTTTCAATAAATCAACACTGGGTTATAATACACTAGTCAAATAAGTTTAAGTTGGCTTTGTTCATATTTGACCCAACATTGGGTTACAACAATCTTGCATTTTTAGAGCATGTGGGTCAAAGACATCCCAGTTAG